GGAGAGGAGGCTGGGGCCCTGCCAGCAAAGGGAGAGAGGAGGCACGATCCGTCACCAAAGCCACCTAGCCCTCCACCGAAGTCCCGAGAGCTGGCCGGCCTTACCACGTACTCCATCGCCGCGGGAGGGCAGGGCAGGCCCCAGGCAGGGAACAGAAACACACAGCCCCTCTCGTCTGGCAGACCAACCTGCGGTTCAGGGACAAACAGGGAGTTAGGCGGCCCTGCCCCCAGACTGCCGGGGAAGCGGCCCTCACACCAAGAGGCAGACCCTGCAGCTTCTGGCTGACAGCATGCAGAAAGGGGCTGTGAAAGCAGAGACAGAGGAGACAGCCCTGCAGCGCTGCCAGCCCGCGGGAGCGGGACACCCGGGGAGAGCCTCCTCCTTCCCGACGGCCTGTGCCCCAGCACCGGGTGGGAGGACGTGCGACACCGTCCTGAGGAGCGCAAGAGCGGGGATGCTCTGGGGCCCCTCTTGCCTAGGGCAAGAGCACGAGGCCGACCCAGAGCGGGTCGGGGACAGACCGAGTACTGCCAAGAGCCGGGCAAAGGGTGTCAGGGGCGGTCGCCCCGCCGAGCGGGGCAGCAACACAAGCAACAGAGGCAGAGAACAACTCGCCTTCAGACCGAGGCAAGCACTGGAGCCGATCCCTGCCCCAGGCAGCCGCCAGGCCCCAGTAAACAGCGCCTGGAGGCCAACACGCCCCAGGAGCAAAGGCAGAGAGCGGAGGCGGTCCGGAACGGTGGAGCTCCCCACTCCTTCCCATGGGCCAAGCACTGAGTCACCCCCTTTGCTGGCATCCCCACTTTGAAAGGATGCCTCAAGCCCTCACGGTGCAGCCACCTCCTCCTCAGGAAGCGGTACAAAAGGAGCAGGGACACAGCCGTTGCCCCAGGCTCCGCAGGAGACCACAAAACAGAGCCTGGTGCTAGGAAGGAGCACTGGAAAGCAGCTACAAAAGGGGAGACGTGTGCAGAGCAAGGAGGGGCAGGAAGCTCAGGGAGAGGGGGGGCAGCAGCTAAGGTAAAGCCAGGCAAGAGGAGCAGGAGCAGCTCGCTGGGAGCCCCTGCCCTTCCCCGCTCTGCTCCCACCCCCACGGCACAGCAGACGTGGTTGGCTCGAGAACGTGCCAGCCAAGCAGAGCAGGGAAGCAAACATGATTTACTTCCTTGTAGCAATTGTGCCCTTATCTGGGGCCTGCAAAGCCAGCGCTGGAGCCCAGGCGGGAGCTAACGTGATTAGACCAGGAGGCAGCGAGATAAGGAAGGCCCCTTTGGCAAGCGCAGCGTCGCAGACCTGCCCTGGGCAGGGCCTGGCTGCAAGCACCCGGCCAGGTCACTCACCGCGAAGGAAATGCAATAACAAGGCCTTTGTATTCCAGGAGCCAAGATTAG